GGAATGATTTTCATAACATTACACTTTATAGTACTCAATTTCATTCTTATTTTTCCAGTTCTAAATGGCACCTAATTCCAGCTTCATACTATTTTAATATTCTCCTGAATATAAAAAGTAGGTCAGGTTTGTGCATCAGAAAATATCACTAAGTACATATCATCTTTTTGGACCAAAAAGACTAATGAAATTATTTAATAAGATCAGCTCCAGACCAATACATCAAGAACTCCACAAATCTTCCTCAAAAGCAACTGTACCCTCTACATACAGCATTTAGCACCTTTTTGCCCTGCTTACCTTTTTTTAAATGAACACCCATGTTTTCCCCATTACAACACCACCGATGCAATTTTATGTTAAATGATTTTCTGGATACATAAAAATTACATCTATATCATGTCCACTGTGTACAGAAATCTGCAGTTTTACCAGAGACAGATATACTAGGCCAAGTGGATTATTATTGAAATGTTATGCCATCTCTTCTTTCAAAATATACTTTTTAAACATTCTAATACTAGCTTTGTTAAATTACCTCATTACTTGGCACAGACAAACAACTCCTGTTGGAGTTCCTAACACGTCTCCTATTACAGACATATTTAAAAACCTACCTGGAAAAACGGTGAGAAAACTGACAGGAGGTTTATTGGTATCAATAGTTAGCTTGTGGTTTGCTGCTTTTGAAGGTTGAGCTGGAGAGCAAACTAACCGCAAAGGCAGTCTGAAGTTACACTGTGCAACTTTCAGTATTCCTAAAATGAAAGAACACAGGTTCATCTTTCACATCCATATTCTGAATATGAGGTACTTCACACTACTGTCCTCAAAGAGGTATAACAAGATATTTTTAATGTGATTAAGGAATATATTAAAACAAAAGTGATGTAAAATTCTCAATTTTTTTTTTACATTTTCCACCTAAACTATCTTTAAGTTTTAATACTTTTAATTACCTTTCAAGTGAACGTTTCCACTGAATAGGAATGCAAGAGTCATTAGCCAAATCCACTGCATATCTATGTTTATACTTACATGCAATGAAGATTAACATTTTACTTAATGCTCTAAACAATTCTACTTTAACATACATGGCAGCTGTGTGATTACTTCTGATGCTTCAAACCCAAAGCTGAAGCATGTATGTTTTCATGAAGAGTATCACAAACTAAATCCTTTTTAAGAACACATTTACTCTTTTTTTTATACTCTTAAACAACATTTATGCAATTTTTCTATCATCTGTCAGAGGTTTGTGCCTTTAAAAAAGTATCTATTAGATTATTACTGAAAGGTATATTAAATTCTATCTTTCAACTCATTGCACCATAATAAAACAGAACTGTAGAACAAATTGGCTACTACCATTGGTATTTGGATCTAATATCATATGCAATTTCATCAGAACAGTGCAAGAGAAAAGAGGAAGTTTTAACATTTAGAAAACATGTTCATTAGAACATGTCATGTGTTCAAATATAAACACTGTTTAAAATTGTTGGCATGTCAGAAATTGCCCAGTATGTTCCATGTGAAAGGTAAAAGTGCTAGTTGCTCCAAAATACAGAGTTCTTGCTCATTTGGACAGCCAGATTATGGTTCTTTTGAGGTGGATTCTTTGATGAAGCAGCTAACAGGGATACCTTGTTTTGTTTGGGTATTGACATCACTAATAGGCACCAATATTCATCTTATTGAGAATAGTATTAATGTCAGTCATATCAACAATCACTCATTCTCTCCCCCAAATAACCCACAAAACTCAATCATTAACCCAACACTCAGGAGAATTTAACAAAGTACATTTTCAGAGATAATAAAGTTACTGTCATAAATCGTATGGAGACAAAGTCAGGAAACTGATAGCTCCACAGAGGTTATCAGTCATGTAAGCTTAGCAGGTTAGTATAAAAATAAAGGTCAAACATTTCATAGTCATTCAAGCACCAATTTTTGCTAACAACTTTGCTGCTTTACAGGTCTCTTGCAATGAAAAATTGTTTTTAAGGCTCATCTCAGAGGAAAAATGTTACTAGAAGCCTCAGATTCATCCCCCTGGTTGTCAGTTCATTAGCTCTTTCGGCTGGCTGATAATGACTCCGAGTAACTATTGTACAGCAGCTTGTAAAACAGAAAAACAACATGTAAAACAAGCAGAATGCTTAAGACAGGTCCTCAACTAGGATATTCCTGGGTTCCAAGGAAAATTCCTGAAAAAATCCTTGACAATAAACACACGACCTTTCAGAATGAGTCACTCAACTGTATCTTCATCATCTGATGGGAAAATTAAACTCTTTTCTTGATGACAACAATAACACAAACATCTTACTATTGAACTTGGTTATGGAGACTTATCAACAGGAAAAAAAATCAGTGACAACACTAGCCAAGAAGATTTTGAGATATTTTTACATTTAAAACATGATGTTTTTCTTCTTATTTCAAACCATCTTTTCCTAGACAGTCTGCTCCCAGTCTGCCTCATCATAAACATAATTTTTCACTATTTCAAAGTTCAAATCAAAACTAAATCAAATGGTATCTGGCTTTGGGAGGGGACTGGGGAGATTTCTAGCTGATGAGTCCAAAACAACTATGTGTAAGAAAACCAAAACAAAAAGCTTCAACAAAATTTATCACTACAGTGAAAAACTGAGAAAGGGTTTCAGAATATTTCAAAAATTTAAATGGTAGTAAAGAAACACAAAGCAGTAGCAAAGTGTGGGAGCCAGAACTTCCTCAATCCTTTTGTGTTATGTCTAGTAATAGATCTCATGTCACCTAGAGTTCTGACACATTGCACAATATACAATTTTAGCACTGTAAAAAGAACAAATGTGAAAAAAGTTCAGATACTCTTCTAATCTGAAACAGAAATTTTGTAACCTTATCTCAAATTACTACTACGTAAAGACATACTATGCATTTACCTGATAAAAGTAACAAAGTAGTTATATGCACTGTAGCTATGATCTCAATTCCAAATTACTCATGCATTCATCTTAATTCTATTTACAACATAACACTGATGTACATGATAAAAAACATTCAGGCTCAGATCTCTAATTTAGGGTGTTAAATATTCAGAGAATTTATGCTTTTCCTTGCATTGATGACCCTGAATTTAACTAGCCCAGTGCACCTCACAGTAACCCAAATAAATTTTGTCCCGGATAATTCTAAAAAAATTAGTGTGCTCCACAATATTCTCTTCAGCATCAGGTTTCCATCTTGAGTAGACATTTCTTAAAGCAAAATACAAATCTTCAGTTTTAGGATGTTACCTTTTCAAATTGTAAACATTTATTTTTATATAGTTCACTTACTGTGTTTAATACTTCTTAGAATTGCTTTGTACAGCAGAAATGTGTAAATAAATATTACATGGTGATAGTTATTCTTGCCAAGAGTAGCATTTTACTGAGATGGTTCAAGCATCTATTTCCTGTATGGCACCAAGGTGCCCTGAAATATCCAGAAACCAGGAAAGGAAAGGAACAATTAACAGTTATCTACTTTTTTACTTCACCTAGTACACTCGTAAGAGCATAAGTATTTAAAAACAAGACTCAAATATATGTACTTATATGTATAACTTCTGTTTCTGAACACTGCAAAACTGAAAACACCCTTTCAGTTGATCTCTAAATCTAACGACAAGCAACTTCTTTTCCTCCTCAAATTGTGAGGCAATTTGTACTCAATATATATTTTTAAGGCTAGTAAAATATCTCCTACAAGTACTGTATCTTTTCAATACATGCACACAACTACATTGCAAAACTACTCTCTTTTAGCCTACCTATACATAACCTAACTTTGCAGTCCTGTTTTGTCTTTCAGTTGTACATTTTGCAAGTATCATATCTACCACAATCACAGCTAAGTTTTGTACTGCTGGTATTCTCAGTTAGAAAGCAGCCTTTTAGCCTTGTATAAGATGTTTCCAACAGGAATTAGAAGGAAGAGATGTTAGTGACATTCTCAGAGCTACTCAGTCTAACAGTATAGCATTAGCTACAAATCCTTAATTACCGTTTCAGTTGCACCAAAAAAGCTACAAGTCAGCTAAGTTATTGCTGAAACTTGAAAAAGCTAAAAACATGGTAAAGAAAGAACATACAATTTTGTTTTCCATTTCCAATCTCAATGCATAAGGCACTTAATACTTTGCAAAATTCCAGCCTTACATATGAGGAAGTGCAATATACTTCAAGAAACACCTTTACTACTATTTTCCCCATAGGTAATTGTCTTATGTCTAAGCCTCATTTACTTCCAATTTTCTCAAATATTTACACCTTCATAGCATCAAGCCAGGGATAACAAGAACTTATAGACTTAACAGGTAAAATAACAGCTCCCTTCCAAATCTAATTTATTGAGCATACATTGTCACTCATGAAACTGTTCAAAGTTTGCATTTTTTCCATTCACTCACCTTCAGGATTGAGCTCTACCGCACAACCAGCAATGGGACAAAAGAAAAAAAAGATTACATAAGAAGTTACTCAAATAAGAAAAAAGAAAATGTAGTAACAAGTTTTAAAGAACTTAAGATACATTTGTAAAGTGGACAATACATAAAGACATAATAGTAGCCAAAAACCAGACATGAGACCACATCATCAATAGTGCAATCCCATCCAACTGAGTGACTCATTAACCTTCAGCTGCATGAATCACACAGATATACTAAAGACTGATTTGGCCACAAATATGGGTATTTTAAAAACGAAAGAGGAAAAAGTCTCTATTCAGATAAAATGAAGTCACAAAGGCACTTAATTTTTGTTTATGAGTGTATTACACTTCAGGATTTGATTGTCTTGTACAAGTAACTAGTATTTGTATGTAATTGAATAGAATTATCCCAGCTCAATAAATTACACAAATATCCAAAAATTTAGCAAGATCTTAATTATGCTCATTTATTTAGAAGCCTTCCAAATTCTACCATTAAAGTTTTTTTAATTTCTTCTACAGTTCCCTAATTCTGTTAGATGTCATGTCTTCAGGAGATTTTTTTTTTAATTGCATATAAACAATCAAACACATTTAAGATACAAGAATTCTTTACTTCCCTAACCAAAAGGCTTGCAGAATCCAATCTAATATCTAAAATATAAAGCATAAGTTTAGCTAGTATCACCTGGAAGAAATACACTCATTTGCCAGTGACAAATACCCTTTAAGCTTGCTGCTTTGGTCTTGCAAAGCAAAAAGAAACAAGATCAGCAAAACAAAAAGCTTTCAAAATCAGAGGATCCAAGATACTCAAAAGTATACTACCTACACAGTTGGTACTACAAAACCTTACTAAACTGGATGCTTAAGAAGGTACAGCAACTCATTCACAAGGAATAAGCAGTCACAATACAGAGGGACTAAAGTTGTGAAAGCTCTTTGTGCAGGGTCTCAAAAAAGGAGAGGAGCATCATTTTCTCTTCCATCCTCTGCAAATATATACACACCTTGTCTAAAGAAGGTAAAATCAAGTTTAAAAACGTGAGTTTCAGTTTTGTCTAGAAATAAACAACTCAATCATCACACAGCCTAGACTATCATCATAAACACGTTTCAAGTGAGAAGTGATGTGAAGTAAATGCTTAAATAAAAGTGACCTCAAGACCACCATCCTTCACAGAAGCCCTAACTCCATGTGCATTTCTTTGGTGCCTGTCTACTCCATGTCACCTTTCCATTTGTGCTGGCATAGCTCTGTACCTGTACAGTGAACAAAACCAGCAAATCTGTCTGAGAAATAATTGTTGACTATGGGAGCACAACAGGGGAGGAGGTGCAGGAGCAAAGCCAAGCAGTGGGAAGTGAAGCACAGCTTAAACTGCTTTATGCTGCATTTAACTTAAGATGGAAGCCCTGCCTAAATACAGTTTCTCAGTAGCCTGATACATTCACAAGGCTGTGTGTAGAACTAAGCTAATCAGTCTTCAGTTATGGACAGCAGGGTAAACTTACATGTTCTATCACTAGGGCCATTAAAAAACAGAACCACTTAGTTTCAAAAACAGAACCACTTAGTTTCTACTCCTTTGGGTTAGTTTATTTGTTTAGGATTAATATGTTCAAACTGGTAAAAGGGTAGTGAGGAATAACCACTCCCAATGCTTATTCAAATCATCTCCTCTCTAGGGAGGCCACTATTGCCACATTTGTTGGCAGCCCGTAAGGCCGAATAGTCATAAAGATGTAATTAAGTTCTCACTCCAAGAGGTGGTGTCTTAAAGAGCAGAACAGAAGCAAAATGTTAGGAAAAAATTGTTAGAATGGGAAAGCTTGTTCAGGTGCTTCCCAAGCCATAAGCATATGATTTTACCTTTATAAAACTAATTACAGAATTTAATGATGCTACATAAAATACTAACTAAAACTGAACACTAGACTGATACACATTATTTCTTTAATTACTACTGCCTTCAATATAATTCAAAATAACATTTATATGTAAAGAAAAAGACCTCAAAAACAGCAAAGCAATTTGAAATCTCCAATGGTTTACCTGTTGGTGTATTATATGAAACCACACAATTTCCTTCTAGTTCTGATGGAGAACAATTCCCCTTCAAAAAGACAGACAGGACCACAGTTTCAGATGAATCCGGTTCTAAAAACAATACAAAATTAAATCAAGTAATAGAAGCACCCAAACGAAAGCAACATATTTTCTAGCACTTTGGGAAATACTTCATTAAATTCTGATAGTTATCTCCATCAGTTCATCAAATCACTGGACATGCTTTTTTTTAAAGCCCATAATTTGTAAAAGGCAAACTAGTCTCTCAAACTTATAACTATCTTGAAGCATAACCAATAAAACAATTCAGCACACTGAACACCAAGAATATAAAAATAAATGCAGTTTTATATTGTGATTTTAATATTTTACAAAGCTATTAGCCCTTTGGTCCTGTCATATGTTGAGGAAACTTAAGAACTGTCCTTTCAGATGAGAGCAGTCAGTAAAGCCCTGTTTCAGTAGGGACCATTACTGCACATTTCAAAGCAGAAATGGTGTGCAGTCCCAACTGAGGCAAGGAGGACACATTTATCTGGTCTTCAGCTCCATTTAGTCTTCAAGGCAATCCCACCTGCAGCCCTATCAGAGTTGGAAAAAGGCTAGAATGACCAAACAGCTGATGCCAAGTTGGGAACGTATGCTAGATTGTCCACAGCTAAACAAGATTTCTGTCCCTGCCATTTCTATATAGAATTTTCAGCAAAACAAAATGTCCCAGCAAAAGTACCACAGAATAATTTATTTTTTAACTCCATCTTGAAGCTGCCACCCTGCCTCTCCTCACCTCCAATGCATCATTCTGTAATCAAGGAAGCGATTCCTTTTCTACTTTGTCTTCCTCCACCAAACAGTATCTAGAAGCTGCAGAGTGCAGGCAAGGCAAATTTGCAATTCTTTTAACTGCACTATATCTGCAACAATGCAGTCCATGAAGGCTGGACTATACTTTTCAAACATCTTCAGAAAAAGTCATGTGATACAATAGCTGTAATGGTACTATAATAATTTACCTAAATCATGAAAGATGAACTGGTCACAGGTCACTGCCAATGGAGCTTGTACACATACAGCCAGGTTTGGTTTCTGTGCAGTCACTCTGCTCTGTATTGTTATCTAAATCGACATACAAAAGTATTTAAAGGAAGCAACAAATTAATATCTGTATAGCAGAAAACAAAAACATAACCAGCAAAAAGATATGAAAAACCTGCAAAGAAAATTCAGCAACAATGTTTAAGAACTTCAAATTTCAACTTCAAAACCAGTATTTTCCTTTTACAATTCTTATTTTCTTACAGCCAGTAATGGGACACAGTAACTTGAAAGGCTACAGAAAACTGAGAAGATTTCTCATATTCTTTGTAATTTTCACTCAACACAAACTAATGCTAAGGTGTTAATTAAAATGTTAATATTTTGCAAGTGTCATGTGCATTTGTTCTAATGTAAATAAAAATAAAATGTTGCCTCTTTTAGGTGACTACAGTAAAAAAAAAGAATAAAAGCAAAGCTGACCAAAGAAATTATTTCCTTTAACCGCAAAGAGCAATGCATAGTCTTCCGAATAACTGCAGACTCAACGTATATTTTATTTTTTATAGCAAACAAATTCTAATATTTAATATACAGGACACCCATCACAACTACAACTCTAGGTTATGAGAGCTGACCTAACCATAAACCTGGAGTGGCTCTTCTTGCTTCTGTTGTAGGCAGTTATTTCTCTGCAAAACCAATGGATATCAAATGAATGTCCTTAACTCAGATCTAAAACGAAAGTATAGTGGTGACTGAGAGCTGAATGTGGTCTGCATATACACAGACCATATCTGCTATCTATTATATCATCTGCTTTGCATTGCTGGTCTACCAAGGAGCTCACTACAGCCACATTAAACCAGTTTAAGAAAATATTATTAGTTATAAAATGACTCAAGTGTTAGGAAGTTTGACTACTTAACAGAATTAACATCAACATTTATTTTGTTTTAACAATACATTCAGGCTGCAAAGAGGCCCTCAGATCATCCATCGCTATTAAAGCTAGCAAGGATCAATCACATCTACCTCCACACATGTATCAGGTAAGCTTTGCCCCATTTTCTGAAGCCAGAATCTCAATAATGTGAACAACGAAGATGAAATCAATAGTCTCACAGATGTTATGCCAATTAAATGAGCTAAAAACATGCAGACATGAAACTGCACACTTCGTAATTTCTAATCAAGAATTGACATTTGAAGTTACTGGCAAATGCTACTTCAGCGCATTTCTCAATTATGTTTAGCTTTTTGTTGCATATAGGAGTCAGAAGTGTAGAATCCTCTTACACAGAAACTTTTCTCAAGAGTATCAATTTTTATCAAAACTTTTCTAACAGGCCTGTCATCAGTGCATTTTAAAATTACATTTATAATATATAAAAAATAAGTGTCACATAATCTGGAAGTTTTTTTTAGAGCACAGTGCATTGCCTGCAGATCTTTTGGGTACAACAACCATTACAATGGCCAAATAATATCCATTAGTAACATTACCTACTTTGCAGAAAACATGCTAGATATACATATACATTGGTTGCAGTTGTGCAATTCAAGGAAATATTTAATTTTAAAATCTATCAAAATTGTTTTCAACTTGTCCAAAATTAGTGGTTAAGTTCACATTAGTCTGACAGGAGTAATAACGTGCAACCATAATGTACAATTATTGCTTACTTTCATAAGAACCAACACTTATAACTTCGCATATGTTAAAGAGTTGAATCCATTAAGTAGAAAGACTTTTCCCATCAGTTAGAATGGAGACATATGAAGACCAGTTAAATGAAAATCACAGAAAAAATATTCCAGAAAAAACTGAATGCATGATAACTCCTACATTTACTATTTGTTTCATTCAAAGGTACAAGATGCATAAACCAGAAAACAGAGTGGGGAATTATAAAGTCTCCCCATTAAAAAGCTTATCAAATATATAAACCCATCCATGCTCATTTTAAACAGTTTGCCATTGGCCTTACAATAGCAATAATGAGCAAATAAGGGAGAACAATGGGAGTTACCTGTGTTCCCAATATTGAAATCATAACCGCTCTCCAGAAGTCGAATTTGGCAATTATAAACACAATATTTTCCTCTGTAATACCTCACTTATACAATATATTGGTTTCAATGTAAACTAAAAGCTGATCAACTCACATGTTTCCGGAGGTAATTTAAATTTACATTACATATTTTAAGGTACCCTTATATTCACAAACAGCCTGATTCAAAGTCCAATGCTGTTTATCTGAACTTCTTTGAGCAAAATTGTCACAAACTTCATCAGGATTAGAATTTTGCCCTGTATCATTTTAGCATTTAAAAATGCAGAGAAAGATGTTGGACCAAGTACTAAACTAAACAACACTAATGTAAGGGAATCTGGTTCAATAAATAGTCCAGTTACCCTCTGAACTTGTCACTCAAGACAGAGAGAACGTGCAAGGTTCTCAAAAATCAGTCTCCACTGATATTCCTAGAAGATCCTCTCAAACTCAGTAATTAAAACCATGAACCTTTTTAGGCAATAATGAGAAGAAACTACACTTGCACAGACATGCATGTGCATGCACACACACTTTCTTTACAGTTACAAACAGCAACTCTCATGGAGTGTAATGATGTCAATTTTCAAATTAGATTTTCCTAACATTTTTTGTCACTAGCAAAAGCTGTGAAAGTCTTTTTACAAGAGAAAGTCTAGTTTTGTTCATTGCCATCTAAAAAGGCAGCTGAAGATAACAAACTTTACATGTCAAGTAACCAAACATCTATTCCCTTTGAAAGGTGTTGGAAAAAATTATTCTTATAACTTCGAAAACAAGTTCATTCCATCCTCGTAACTTTTTTGTGTCTGCTTCTTGATAAGCCTAGAAAAAATAAAACTTAAGTCACTTTCTGACTTCAGCAGGCTTGCTAGAACGACACCTTGTCATACTAAGGAAAAAAGAATTAACTATATATTGCATTTCAAATTTTACTCATTTTCATGATCTAAGTGAAATACACAGAAAGTGACAGGTTTGTTAAAATTTGCCACTACTTTTTGAATGCTACCATTTCTTTTTGAATGCTACCATTTGACTTAGGTACAGTACCTTTACTGTGACTGATGGTACTGCCGCTGCTTTTATCTCACTGTCAATGGCTTGCTGTGAAGAAAAAGATGAAAACAGAGTAAATTCAGTATTACGCATGAATGAGTGAACACAATGAATGCAATATTACTTTCATACCATCAACTTGGTAAACAGGGAATTAATGGTAAAGGACTTATCATTCCGATGACAGATTAAAATACACAAAATAAATTTCTGAGTTCCTTCTGAAAATGTATAGCCTCTGTTTGAAATCGCCTGCAAAAAGGATAGCAAAAGGTCATGAAAGTTGTATATATAAGAAACTAATACACTCTGATGTATATATGAATATTTGAAACTGTTTTGTTTGGCACACTACTTTCCACTGTGTATTTACTTAAATTCTGGAAACACCTT